AGAACTCTTAAGATATACTTTAGGGGCTGGCATTGTGGTGCAGTGAGTTAAGTTGCCGCCTGTAATGCCAGCATCACATGTGAGTGCCAGTTCATGTCTAGCTGCTCCATTCGGATCCAGCCCTGTTAATGTGCTTGGAAAGCATCGGAAGCTGGCCTGAGTGCATGGGCCCCTGCCAACCTTGGGGACACCTGGATTAAGCTCCTGGTTTCTGGCTTTGGTCAATTCCCAGCCGGTGTAGCCATCTGGGGAGTGACCAGCAGAAGGAAAGCCTTTGCATTTACACCAAAGGAGAAACAAACAGACGGCAGGAGAAATTTAGAGAGAAACTACCATGTATTGTTTACAAATACAAGAGACTCCTTTTGGGCCAGCATTGTGGCATAGTGGGTAAGCCACTGCCTGTGATGCTGCATCCCATACGAGTGCCATTAAGAGTCCTGTGTGTGCTAACCACTGTTTTTTATGCAAACAGTGACGTATATATACAGCAAGATTAGAGAACTCATACCAGCAGTTTAGAAGCTGGTTTGGTACTGAAATTTAGAGCTGGGGGAAGCTGATCAGCTGCTACCTTGGTGGTCACAGGCAAAATCACTACAAAAGACCTGTGGAGAAAATAATGGCCTATTCCACACTGTAGACCACCAACCACATAAATGAAAAGTGTTATTACTGATTCCTGCAAAGAGGGTACATAAAAAAGTCTGTGGAGGGGCTGGCGCTGTGGAGCAGCTGGTTAAAGCCCTGGCATCCCATATGGTGCTGGTTCTAGTCCCAGCTACTCCTTTTCTGATCCAGCTCTCTGCTTAAGGCCTAGGAAGGCAATAGAAGATGGCCCAAGTCCTTGGGCCCCTGCACCCACGTGGGAGACCTGGAAGAAGCTCCTGGCTCCTGGCTTCAGATAGGCGCAGCTCCAGCCATTGCAGCCATCTAGGGAGTGAACCAGCTGATGGAAGACCTCTTTCTCTCTCTGCCTCTCTCTATAACTCTTTCAAATAAAAAAAATAATAAATTTTTAAAAAAATAAATAAGTAAAAAGTCTGTTGAAAACAGAGTTAAAAGATAAGTTTATTTTGGTGGAAAAAGGGTTTGAAATTATAGGTTTTTTTGTATTTTTTTAAAGATTTATTTATAATTTTGAAAAAGTTACTGAGATAAATGAAGACACAGAGAAAGATCTGTTGGTCCATTCCTCAGATGGCTGCAATGACCAGTACTGGGCCTGGTGAAAGTCAGGGACCAGGAGCTTCTTCCAGGTCTCCACGTTGATGGCAGGGCCCAAATGTGTGAGCCATCTTCCGCTGCTTCACAGCACATCAGCAGGGAGTGGATAGAAGTGGAGAGGCAGGCGCCCTATAGGATGCTGGCACTGCAGGCAGCGGCTCCACCTACTACATCACAACGCTGGCTCCCATATGCAGTTTTTTTATAATAGACATTTTTCACAAACTTTTTGACAACCTCTCTGTGTATCTGAAACACTGGGGAGATTTGAACGAGGGAGGGCTGGAACGGATAGGACATCCAAAACCCAAAATAAAGGCAGAAGAGAGATAAATAAAGACAGAAGAGCTTCTCCTTACTGGTGACTGCGCTACTGTTGTGATGACCCCACTATCTTGGCAGATGCTACCTTATACTGTTTGGAAACATTCTGCTACGAACACATGAAGGTATACCCAGGCCAACTAGCTTTGAAGGTTAGAATGCCTGAGCAAGTTTCTTTCATTTCAACTTTAAGGCCACCTCTGGTCCTCAATGTTCCCTCTGCAAGCTATCCCTAGCTTTCCATTCACCTCTAAGATCTTACTACTGGTGAGTCAATGCAGTGGGTACCTTTTCTCCAAGCCGAATGCTGCCGCATTTCAGAATGTTGATGTCATTTTTGCAGTCGTCCTGAAGCCAAGATTAACCGGTAATCACTGAAGATGAGGCTGTCATCTTGGTGATGTATTGGTGACACTGATACTCAGTATGTTGCCACGGTGATCCACCAAGCAGGGACCAGGTAGCCTTTCCCCACTGGTTCATCAGCGCATTCTTTAATCTGCTCAAAACAAAGTGGCTGTTATACAAGTGTTCCACGCTCAATATTTTCCTGCTGATTTCCTGATCTCTTTATGTGGCAGATAAAAAAATGTTTAGAAATAAACACACTTTAAAGAAAAACACTGTACCATCTTGTGGGGAGCAACTCGGACTAGACTAAGTACTGGAATTAAGACTTATTCTATGCATCTGCTCTCCCACAATATGGCGCTGGGAGAGGAGGAAACAGCGTCTACGCAGCTGCCTCCAGTTCGACCAATAACCTGCAGGAGCTGATCCTGCTCCTGATTGGAGGAGAGCAGCGTGCTCGGCGTGTGAGTAGCAGAGTTGGGATTGGTGGAAGAGGACTATAAAGGAGGAGAGAGACAACATGCACCAGGAACATCTATCTGAAGGAACACCTGTGCAGCCCCCGAGAGAGCCGGCCGGCGGTGTGCCGCTCCCCCGCGGAAGTGGGAAAGTGGCAGGGGGCACCGCCCTTCCACGGAGGTGGAAGGGACGGTAGCCAAGCCGGGAAGAACCAGCAGCAAACCCGGGAAGGGCCGAGCAGACAAAGAACAGCGCAGGGTCCTGTGTCGTTCCTCCGCGAAGACGGGGAGCAACACCATCTCTACTTAGATTGCTGTGCCTTCTAGGACATACTGAATGTGTTTTTGCAAGAAAGTCAAAGCCTGTCCAAATGCTTCCACAGAGTTCATCTCTAGATGACGTAAAAACAGTTCTTAGCACCTACAGCTTCAGTCAGAGTCTCGCGGAGAAGAACGCAGTGGACAGTGAGACGAATCGAGGAACTAGCTCTGGAAAGCTGCGCTGGACCAGCAGTCCAGCGGCACGTCCCAAGCCAAGCTACACAGCAAAGTACTGCCGTTAGGTGAGCCCAGAGGCCAAGAGAGACAGGAAGGCAGGCACGTTACTTCTTGGCATGATATTAATGTGCTCTGAATAGGCTATGGATTTGGACACATGTTTTTTAATTTAGTAGAATCCAAGCTTAACCAGGTGGTCTGGAACAGAAACATGTTTCGGATGATGTCCAGTACGAAAGCTGGGAGGCAAAGGCTGCTGCAAAGCTAGTCTGGGTGGCTTAGACTTGTAATCCAGTGGATCAAGCACAGAGTGACTCCACATGGCTAGTGTTCCCACAAAGTACATGCCAAACCACAACTACTAATAAAGCAAACTGGCTCCCCAGACGCTGAAATTCAGGCATAAAAGCCTGAAATCTACTTACAGGGTTAAAAGCTGGAATTATAAGCAGAGAAGGTTGTTTGGAAAAAGTCTATTGCGTGCAGGGAAATTAGACACAGAGTAGCATTTTCATTCAGAGGATGCAGACAAATGTAAATATTCCGTTTGAAGATAAAAAGTGTTTCATTGACATTTGAAACCAGTAGCGACAATTTTCTCCTACAATACCAACTACTGAAAGTAGGCACATGTGACAAAGATGTTTTCCTTTTCCGAAAGGTATCAGTGAAGGACAAACCTCCCACTGACCATCCGGGTCTCTTCGGTGTCTACACCCGGGGTCAAACTGGGAACAAGTTAAGAACTCAGTTTAAGACAGACAATTGTGTTTACTTTTAAAGCACGCAGATTTGGGAATATAAGTAAATAGTCACACACTGGCTCCAGAAACAGCAGAGGCTCCAACAAAAGAGATGAATGAGGGTCAGTGCTGTGGTGTAGTGGGTAAAGCTGCCGCCTGCAGTACCGGCATCCCATATGGGTGCCGGTTTGAGTCCTGGCTGCTCCAATTCTGATCCTGCTCTCTGCTATGGCCTGGGAGGCAGAGGAAGATGGACTTGGGCCCATATGTGATGCCAGCACTGCAGGCGGCACTATAACCCTGATTTCAGACAAATAAATAAATCTTTAAAAAAAAAATAGAGAGAGATGAATGCAATTCTTTCAGTTTGTGTGTATTGTGTGTGTGCGTGTGTGAGATGCTTAAAAAAGGGAGCCATGAATGTATATTATGAATTTATTTCCAGGGAAAGTTTTTTTTTTTTTTTTTTGAGCAAAACATTTTCTAAAGTGAAAGAGGAGGAGTAAGTTCTCTCAAAAATCTCAGCATTTCTAATTCAAATCACAGAAAAAGTCCTGGATAAAAAATAGACCAGTGGCAGACACCTGCATTTTAAAATTATAGCAGGAAAGCCTCCATATCTTAATATTGAACAATTAAAATTAAAAAAAAGAAAAGAAAAACAGAAGATATTGTGAATGACTGTCCCAGTAAGAAATCACACGTACAGTTTAGCTTCAATCACTTTGGATTTTACTGAAACAGAGACCTGGTACCTATTTGTATTCCAGTTCACCACTAATTACAACAAGGTTGTAGTGTGCAAATGAGAAATTCATGCTTTTGTTCAAACCATTCTGCTGAACCACATTTATTGCTTCTCTCTTATTAAACTTCTAAGACTAACAGCAAAACAGCATTAAACCACTGACACATTTAAGAACAGGAGAGTCAATGGGAAGTGCCTGGGGAGCAGACACACAAGGTGTCACTGGAAACACTTGCAGTCACGCTCTAGCTGACATGAGGTGGAAGGAGGCAGGCAGGTGGTATTGGCGCAGTTCCCAAGAGAAAATCAGCTTGTCTGTGGTTTGCAAACAACTCTTCTGATGTTATTTTCTCCCTCAAAGGAATGATTCAAAAATTTTAAAAGAAGATTGGGAGGAAGATGTATAATAAAATGGTTTGCTGGGAACTATGTTCTTCTGAGTTCAATTTTCCTGACTTGAGTATAATCTCCCAGTAGAAAGGGAGAAGTATCCTGGTCACTTCAATCTTTTACAAAACTGCAACACCTCAAAAGGTCACAGAGGACCTTCATTATATAGACATTATAAGGAAGCAGCGAATGCAGAGTGAAATTAATATGGCAAGTATGGAAATACTCTGAACCAAATTTCCACACAGAATTCAAATTGGTATACATTTAATACTGACGCAAAATGGGGCATAATGAACACCTTTATGTTTGCATGTAAGTATACTAATGTGCCAAAAAAAAACAAAAATCCCACCTTTTTATACTCTGATAGTTCCATAATATAGCAGGAATGCACAAATATTTAAAGTTCAAGCCCAAGACCATTGTTAGTATTTCTTTTTGTTATTAAGCAAACATCACTGCCCTTGATACTTTACTGAGCGGTTCAGTCACAGAGGTCGCTAGAGGAGTCTGAGATGTAGAATACTAATGTAAAGGGCTAAAGGTCAGTTATTCAAGCACATACTGTTCTATCCCAAAGCTCCCAGGTAAACAGAAAGGGTCACTGCTTTAAAGATGAGAAGATATCTGATCTAGTATTAGCAGGTCTGAGGAAGACAAGAGGACCCCATAACGATGTGTAAGCGAGGAACACAGCTAAGGGCTTAGCCAGGTGGGGCAAGGTGCTCCCTAAGAGCTCCGGACAATGTGGCCCTGACAAAAGCTGTCAATAGAGTCAGTTTGAAGACAGATTAGAATGGCACAAGACCTGCAACTATAACTTGGGGGTAGAAAATTAAGAACTGTTCTCTCTGAGATTCTCATCATTCATTATGCAGAAATCTTTGGCTTTCTGGAGGTTCCTATTCCTGATTCTTTAAAAAAAAAAAAAAAAAAAAAAAAGGCAAAACCAAACCAACATTTGAAGTAGCAATGATGTTCATTAATATCAATTGTTGTTTACATTAAGCTATGAAAAATAATTCAGAATTTCTCCCATTATCATCTCTGCCAGAGCTAAAATTTTCACTAATTGTTTTAGTTTTTATCCTCCGTATCAATTTATAACAATATACATAATCATATCCTTACCCTTTTCATCACAAGCTCCTATAATCTGAAGCATATGCTGCTGGGGTTCAGTGGATCCAGCTGCACAGCCAGGACACTGAGCAGTGTCTGCAAGCCTCCCAGGGAAACCAGTGTCACGTGCCTCAGATCTGGCAACTGTGAGATGTGTGCGAGCAGCACTGATGACCTCAGCAGTACACTGGCTGTCTAGGGACCAACAGAACCTCATCTCCAACTGTTTCAGTCATAGCATCCTCCTCCAAGTGTAGGTGGATGCTAACAAAAAGAAGTCTAATTACACCCTGCTTCCTAGCTCTCCAACAAGACAGATGTGAATCCTCAGACAAGTAAAGTAACTGAGTCATTCCTCTCTTAATGACTGGTCTGCTCAACGATGTAATTCTCTCTTCAGTTACTAAACATCCATCACACTCTTTTCAATAGCCTACCTCTGATATGGTAGATTTGCAAACTTCTCTGGCCACAGACTCGAATTTGGGATCTGTAGTTAGGTTCAGCTTGTAATTCCACAATAACTAGGTACAAGAGAAAAATAGAAAAAGGGGGGAAATTCCGTTAGAGTAGTATGCAATTTATCAACAGTTACTATAAATGACAAAAGTCTATTGTAGAGAGTCAGATACAACATATTCCCTGTGAGGTAACAAACAGAAAGATAAAACACCATTGCATTCAAAGATAAAAAGGAAAAAAACTGCAGACAAAATTAAAGTATTAGCATTTTGACATACATTTCTCTTTAAGGACAATTTAAGGTATGAATTAAAAATTATTTTAAAATAAATATTAAAATCCCTGATCAAGTTTTCAAAGAAAATGATATATTATTTTTATAAAATATACACAGAGGGAGAAAAATCTTCCTGTTGGCATAGTTTACTCCTCAAATGCCTGCAATAGACAGGGCCGGGCCAGGCCAAAGCCAGGAGCCTGGAACTGAACCTGGGTCTCCCTTGTGGGTGGCAGAGAACCAAGCACTTGAGCCATCATCACTTGCTTCCTCAGAGGTTAGCATTAGGTAGAACTGCAAGCAGAGCCAGGACTCGAACCCAGGCATTATGATATGGGATGCAGGTATCCCAAGCCTCATTTTAATTACTGTGCCAAATGCCTGCCCTTTCAAAGAAAACTATAGATAAGTTATCCAAGTTAAATTCTGCTTAAACCAAAAAGTCTAACCCAAGAGTTTAGATCTGCTGGGTTCAGTTTCAGATTTCATAATTGACAGTGCTTTCACAGATCGTTTTTATCAAAGTGAGTCACCTGGAGTCTAACTCCCAGCAATATCTATCTTCATTCCTTTAAAACACTTGACACAAATACTGTAAGTTGCATTTTACACATCTATTCTAACATTTGCTAAACTAGAAGCAGCCTAAAACCTTATTATGCTCAGGTGAGGGCTGAATATTACTTTTATCTTTGTAGCTTCAAATTAAAAACTTCATTAAATGGTCTGATTTCTGAAAAGTAGCAAAAATCAGCCCTTAAAACTATTCGGATAGAGAGACAGAGCAAAACTTGGCATGATGCAGGATATGAATAGATGTTTGCTGGAAGGGCCATTCTTTTCTTTCTGACTGCCATACTCCAAGATGGAAGGTCAGCATCTCCTGAGCACCCATTACCACGCACCACACACAGTCTGATGTCCTGGAGCACCACAGGCTCCTGGAGAAAACCAAGGTGAGCATTTGTTGACTGTGTTCTAGGCATGGTGTTAGGAACCAGGAGAACAAACAGAAGTAGAAAGTAAGAGGCTGTCCAGTGGGTGGCTATGATCAGCTGTAGGACGTAGTGAAGGCATCCCCAGGTGTGACAGGAGTGCAGGGGAAGAGGGCTCTGGGCTGGGATGGGATGGGGTTTGGCTAGGGAGCACTCAACAGAGAAAAGGCTATTTAAGTGAAACCAGTAGTTAGATTGAAGCACAGGAAGAAGACTGGTTTAAGTAAATGAAACGCATGCCTGGGAGCAGGGTGAGTTAGAGGAATCCCAAGACCAGCAGAGGATAACTCTGGACAGGCAAGCCACAGTCAGATCAGAAAGCCCTTGTGTGCCATGTCTTAACTTTAACCCTGGAGTAATGGGGAGTTAGCCAAAGGAAAACAATGCTGGTGACATGGCCATACATACTTTTTAGAAGTAGAAAAGGGGTCCAAATAAAGAACATTAGGAATGACAGACAGAGCAGCCAATTCTGGGTGAGTGCCGAGGAGTTGGTGAAGAAATAACCCAGCGGGGCTGGTGCTGTGGTGTAGCAAGGTTAAGCCATCACAGGGACACCAGCAAGCCATATCAGAGCACCAGTTGGAGTCCTGGTTGTTTCGCTGTGGATACAACTCCCTAATAATGCACCTGGTAGAGTAGCAGAAGATGGTCCAAGTCCTTGGGCCCCTGACAACCACGTGGGATACCCAGAAGGAGTCCCAGGCTCTTGGCTTCTATGTGACCAAGCCTCAGCTGTTGAGGCCATTTAGGAATTAGACCAATTTGATCACTCTGTCACTCTGCCTTTCAAATAAATGAATAAATCTTAGAAAGAGTAGGATTTCTTCTCATCCCTGCAAAAACAAAAACTCTTATCTTCAATAGGACATATTAGGCCAAACTGAAAATGGGCATAAAAGCGGGACTGAAAGGATTTTGGGCCTCCTGAGATGAATTCAACAATTCAAAGACAAGGCTGGAATTCAGGGAAATATGTTCACTGTTATTTATTTACTTTTTAAAGTGCACAATTCAGTACTTTTACTTTTGTAAAGCTGCACAACTATCACCATTTTCTAATTCTAGAACATTCTCTTCACACCCAACAGAAACATTAAACCCATTCTATCATTCTTCATGCTCTCACCCCTATTCTCTGGCAACCTAATCTATTTTCTGGTCTTTTATTATTATTAAATTTATTTATTTCCTTAAGAGACTGGGGCGGGGGAAGACAGAGTAACATTGCTCCCTCATTTGCTGATTCACTCCCCAAACGCTCACAACAGCTGGGACTGAAGTTGGGAGCTAGGAATGCAATCCAGGTTTCCCCGGATGAGTCTGGGTGGCACAAACCTGACTTCTTGAGACACTACTGCTTCCTCTCAGGGTCTGCATTTGCAGGAAGCTGGAGTCAGGACAGAGTTAGGAATTAAACCCAGGTACTCCAACATGGGATTCAGGGTCTGACCCACTAGGTTAGATGCTTGCTCTGTAAATTTTATATTAAAGGGCTGGCGCCGCAGCTCACTAGGCTAATCTTCTCCCCCTGCGGCACCGACACACCGGGTTCTAGTCCCAGTTGGGACGCCGGATTCTGTCCCGGTTGCCCCTCTTCCAGGCCAGCTCTCTGCTATGGCCCGGGAGTAGTGAGCCCTGCACCTGCATGGAGACCAGGAGAAGCATCTGGCTCCTGGCTTCGGATCAGCGCGATGCGCTGGCTGCAGCGTGCCAGCCGTGGCGGCCATTGGAGGGTGAACCAACAGCAAAAGGAAGACCTTTCTCTCTCTCACTGTCCACTCTGCCTGTCAAAAAATAAAAATAAAAAAATAAAAATTTTATATTAAAGGAACTGGTCAGCAAATGGTTTATTTTAACTACAGAAGGCAACACATCTGATTACAATTGGGAGAAGCACAAGACTGAGGGAGATTACTGACCAGTTAAGAGGCAAGAATTGATTTGGATGGAAGAACATGGTATATATTTGAGAAACACACTATGAAGTAATTACAGGACTAGGATATGTGGGGCAGGGGAGTGGCTCTTCATGTTCAAGCTCTTTAAAAATACAGCCTACAGTTTGTTTTATCTTTTTCCTCTTCCATCCACCCTTAATAATTTTATATCAAACCTATCTTTAAAAACCAAAACAAGGGAGCTGGTTCATGTCCCAGCTGCTTCTCTTCTGATCCAGCTCTCTGCTTAAGGCCCAGGAAGGCAGCAGAAGCTGGCCCAAGTACTTGGGCCCCTGAACTCATGTGAGAGACCTGGAGGAAGCTTCTGGCTCCTGGTTTCAGATCAGTCCAGCTCCAGCTGTTGCGGCCATCTGGGGAGTGAATCAGCAGATGGAAGATCTTTCTCTCTCCCTTCCTCCATTCCTCCCTCTATAATTCCATCTCTCAAATAATAAAATCTTAAAAAACAAACAAACAAACAAAAAAAAAACAGGAAGCAGGCGTTGTACAGCAGGTTAAAATGTTTCTTGGAACACCTTTATCCCATATTGGAGTGCCTGGAATAGAGTCCAGCTTCAACTTCTGATCCAGTTTCTTACTACTGCACCTGGGAGACAGTACATGATGGCTCAAGTACCTGAGTCCCTGCCACCTACGAGGGAGATCTGGATTGAGCTCCTGGCTCCTGGCTTCAGCCTAGCCCAGCTCTGGCTATTACAGGAATTTGGGGAGTAATAGCAGATGGAAAAATCTTTTTCTGTTGCTCTGCCATTCAAATAAATAAAAATTAGTATCTAAGCACTAAAAAACAAAACAAAACAAAACAAAACAAAACAAAAAAAAAACAACAAAAAACAAAAAAACAAAAGACAAGACTATCAGGTCACTACGAAGTTCCTTTCTAAAGTCCTACATACTGGGCCAGCATTGTGGTGTAGCAGGTAAAGCCACCACTTGCAATGCTAGCATACCATACAGACACCAGTTCATGCCCTGGCTGCTCTACTTCTGATCCAGCTCCTTGCTAATGGCCTGGGGAAAACAGTGGAAAATGGTCCAAGTGATATTTTATTTAAAAAACTTAAATAATAAAGTCCTACATACTACCCAGAGGTAAACACTGTAAATTCCTATTTCTTATGGTAATTACCTCCATATTTTTTAAAAATTATTTATTTGAAAGTGAGAGTTACAGAGAGAGAGGGAGAGACAGATCTTCTATCCATTGGTTCACTTCCCAGATGGCCACAGACCAAAGCCAGAGCCAGGAGCTTCTTCAAGGTTCCTCACATGGGTGCAGGGGTCAAAGCACCTGGGCCATCTTCTGCTGCTTTTCCAGACCATCAGCAGAGAGCTGGATCAGAATTGGATCAGCCAAGACCTGAACAAGCTCCCATGTGGGATGCCAGCACTGCAAGTGGTGGCTTTACTCACTACACCACAACAACAGGCCCAACTCCACATTTTTAAGTAATATGCTTAAACTATTATTTCTTGACTTGTCAGTTTTAGATATTACCTTACCTTAGATACTACCTTACAATGTAGAAGATGAGCACGAAGCCTTATACCCTTCCTACTGATCTATGTCCTTCCAAAATAGTAAAATCATGATAGATCTTCAGTGTTTACGCTATTGATTCTATTTTAAAAAATGGCATATTCTGCCAAAATACCTTCATTATACAAGGGTACTTCAACAAGTTTATGAAAGATGAAATTAGAAGGTAAGTTTTATTTGGTGCAAAACAACTTTGAAATCCACAGATAGTTTTTCATAACACCATTGTCTACTAACTCTTTAAAGACTTGTCTGTGCATGGATTTCAAAAATCGTTTTGTACCAAAATAACATTTATCTTTTTAAAATTTTTAAGATTTTATTTATTTGAAGGGCAGAGTGAGATAGGGAGAGAAAGAAATAGAGATCTTCTAACTGCTGGTTCACTTCCCCAAATGACCACAACAGCCAGGGAGGGGTCAGGCTTAAGCCAGGAGCCATCTGGGTCTCTCACATGGGTGGCAGGGGCCCAGGCACTTGGACCATCCTCAGCTGCTTTCCCAGGTGCATTAGCAGGGAACTGGATCAGAAGTGGAGTAGCCTGGACGTAAACTGCCCCTCACAGGATGCAGGTGTCACAGGTAGCCTCAACCTATTGTGCCACAATGCTGGCCCAAGGGCTAAATTCTTGCACTCAAGGAGCTAGAGTTTACATTCTTTGACAGGGAAAAAGATAATACACAAACACTTAGATGATAAAGTCTCAGAGTAGGGGCTGGGGGTGTTACTTTCCATAAGGGAAGGGGGACCCAGTAAATGAGTATTCACACAAGGTGAATGTTCCAGGCAGAAAGAACAGTGCATGCAAAAGCGTCAGGCACTCTCATTCACTACTTGCGGATCAGCTGGGGGCTACTGTGGCTTCAGTGCATTTTACATGGACAGCAGATAGCATCAGATAGCAGATGTTCATGCTTCTGCCTCAAGAAAGAATCAGGATTAGAAGATAGTAAATGGCGAGCAGCAAGTGTTTTCTTGAGAAAGCGAAATTACATACTCCACAGAGTGTAGGCTCACTGGGAGGGGAGTGGCCCAGCCTCTGAACTGTGTTTAACTTTATATGGGTCATTTAATGAAAGAGGAGGTACATTCCAACAAAGGAGAGGAATATTCCTGGCTTCTTGGAAGTAAGTGGAGACTTCCCAGAATCTAGTTGCTGCCTTGGATGCTGGTAGGTACGTCATTTAGCATGCTAATACATTACAAGGAGCATATAATGAGCCATCAATCTAGACTAGCTTTGGCCCCCTAAACTAGTATGAGCCTGGTCCAGTTAGAGGGTTTGTTAATCCTCAGAGAGGAAACCATACCCTGTAGGCTTTGAAATAAAAGGAACTAACAGAAGAGGTCAGAACACAGAGAGAGAGAGAGGAGGGAGGGAGGGAGAGAATATCTTCCACCCATTCCCCAAACTGCTGCAACAGACAGGGCTGGGTCAGCCTGAAACCAGGAAGCAGGACCTCTATGCCCATCTCCCACATGGTGGCAGGGGCCCAATGACCTGAGCCATCTTCTGCAGCCCTCCTAGGCACATCAGCAGGAAGCTGGATCAGAAGCAGAGTAGCCAAGACTTGAACTGGTGCTCTGATACCAGATGCTAGTGTTACAAACAGTGGCTTAACTCACTGTGCCACAAAACTGCTCCCAATTACTTCCTACAGATTTTATATCAACTCTCTCTACTGCTGTGCACTATTTGTTCCCAATTTTTCAACATCATGTCCTTCCCACTTCCCAGATTTGAGGCACACATACGTGGGTTTCTCCTCAGTTTCCATCTACTGATGGACTTGGGAGGTTCCCCCAAATCTTCTGCCTTAATAATAAAGCCACAACAAATGTCATTTAGTAAACACAACACTATCCACTCTCTTAACTATACACAAATTTCTAGAAATAAAAGTTAGACAAAATCATATATATGCTGGACCAAAGCATTTTAAGTTGACTACTTTAGAAAGACATTTTTCTTATTTATATTCCCCCAATCACAGGCTTCAAAAGCATTTAGCAAACTTCTTCTAAAGAACCGGAAAGGATTAGAAACATTTTAAGTTTTGAGGAAATCCACAGTCACTGTTCCAAAGACTCAACTTTGCTATCTTGGCATGGCAAGCAACCACAGAAAATATAGAAATTCATGTGGCTATTCCAAGAAGACATTATACATAAAAACAGATAGTAGACAGGATTTGGCCCATGGTTGTAGTTTTTTAATCTGAGAGCTACAGAATGTTTAAATTATCAATACTGTACACTTACCAAACTTTTTTTATTTGCTAACCAAGTAGACAAAATAGAATACCCATTTTTCTTTTAATTTTCATGTTTCTTATTATAAGGGAGGATCAACTGTTTTGCTGTTTACTAGATATTTTTTTCTTCTCCTGTGAATAGTCTAATATTCATGTCCATCATCTATGTTTATTAACAGTACTTCCCATCAAAGAATATAGTCCTTTGAATCCATACAGCAAATAATTTTAAATAAGGCTGATTATGTTTAGTGCAATCAAATTTTATATATATGTAATATATATAACAGATATGTAAAATATCTCTTGAGGTCATGTGATGTTTGTAAAAGTCTTCTCTCTCTTCATGTTTTCTTCTAGGATTCTGGGGATCTTATTTTATACTTTAAATCTCTAACCTATCTAGATTTTCTGTAGAATGAATAGTTAGCCGAAACAGCCAAACTGCCTCTGTGTTTTGGTGGTCCCCTGTCTAATCCACCTACTACACTGTGACAGAGTGGTTCATATGCCTCTTTTAGTTCAAGCACAAACTCTCTATTATTAAGCCTTTCCTGACATCAACCTACCCTGACACAAGTCACTTTTTTGTCTCCACTGCAAAGCACAGATTTTCCCCAAAATATACAACACTTTTTGCATAGACATGATTTCATCATGGTCTCCTTTTGATGTGTTATCATGGTATCTGGATCACAGTTGACTGTATGATGACCATGAAAGAAGCCTAAAATGTGCAATTCTAGGGGCCGGCACTATTGCATAACGACTAAAGCTGCCGCCTGCAACACTGGCATCCCATGTGGTGTTTTGTTTGTTTGTTTGTTTGTTTTTACAGGCAGAGTAGACAGTGAGAGAGAGAGAGAGGTCTTCTTTTGCCGTTGGTTCACCCTCCAATGGCCGCCGCGCTGTAGCCGGCACACCGCGCTGATCCGAAGGCAGGAGCCAGGTGCTTCTCCTGGTCTCCCATGGGGTGCAGGGCCCAAGCACTTGGGCCATCCTAGACTGCACTCCCGGGCCACAGCAGAGAGCTGGCCTGGAAGAGGAGCAACCAGGACAGAATCTGGCGCCCTGACCGGGACTAGAACCCGGTATGCCGGCGCCACTAGGTGGAGGATTAGCCTAGTGAGCCGCGGTGCCGGCCCCCCATGTGGTGCTAAAGTGAGTACCAGCTGCTCCACTTCAGATCCTGTTCCTGCTAATGAGCCTGGGGAAGCAGTGGAAAACAGCCCAAGTGCTTGGGCCCCTGCACTAATGTCGGAGACCAGGAAAAGATACTGGCTCCTAGCTTCGGCTTGGGCTAGCCTTGGTTGTTGCGGCCATTTGGGGAGCGAACCAGTAAATGGAAGATTTCTCTCTCTCTCTCTCTCCTTCCCTCCCTCTACCTTTCAAATAAATAAATAAATCTTAAAAATAAAAAAAGGAATTCTGTAGCTCTAACTTGATCAGCAGAGAATACTTTTACTTAGTAGCTGTAACAGATGAAACATTAAGCTTAAGTACATAATATTATTTGGCAGACTTTGGTTTCTTCAACAAAGGGGTATTCGCCGAGTGTACCATGGTCCTTAAACAAAATGGATCATGCTTTTAAGGTTAAGAGAAGCAAAGAAAGTATGTTTCCCAGAACAACAGGAAAAGCATCCCCAAATCTATCAACTTTTATATAAAGCACATATGAAATACAGAAACCCCATACTTACATGATTACAGTCTGAAGAAATTTCATTTTCAGGCTAGAAGGAAAAAAAAAAGAGATGATGTTAAAAAACAAGAACCTCAAGTTTTCAAACACCCTGAAATAAGCTCAAAACAAGAAATCTGAATATTCAGTATTTCTTCAACATAATGAGGAAAATGGAGTCTATCTTTTAGACTGCTGGTGAGAGCTACACCAGAAAGGTACCTAAGAGACATAAACCCTTTCCTTCACTAACACATGGTAGAAAGGGGGAGACGGAAAAAAAATGCACTAAATCAATAAAAAATGGTGACTTAGGGTCATTACGTGAGACTTCATAATGCTGTAAGCTAAAAAGGGTCAGGTGCAATATAGGTGTCCTTTCTTTAAAGTGAGTTAAGAGATCTTTTAAAAAAATATTTAAATCATAGGCTTATTAAAGAGTGCAGATAAGGTCTGTCAGTGATTTGAAAATCAGTCTAATGTCACCCCTGGGGGAAGCTAGGTGACCGACACAAAAGATCTCTATGTACTACTTCAGAATTTCTGTAAGTTTATACTTAAAACTAGAAAGTTGTCTTTTAAAGTTGGGATCTATACATATTCACATGAGTTCACTTTCTTCATAAGGGCAGATACATAAAGAGAAGATGAACGTTCAATTCTATGATGAATGAAAACAAAACACCTACTAGGTTTTACCTAATATTGCACTTTGCACTGCATATCTCCTTTAGTTTCCTCATTCACACCCTTAAAGGAGATACAGCTATAGTAATACGCACCACAATAAAGCACTGCTTCTTTTGAATTGCTAAAGTATCCAACTATTAAAATGAATTAACTGAAAAAAAAATTTTTTTTTGACAGGCAGAGTGGACAGTGAGAGAGAGAGAGACAGAGAGAAAGGTCTTCCTTTGCTGTTGGTTCACCCTCCAATGGCCGCCGTGGCCGGCGCGCTGCGGCCGGTGCACCGCGCTGATCCGATGGCAGGAGCCAGGAGCCAGGTGCTTTTCCTGGTCTCCCATGGGGTGCAGGGCCCAAGCACCTGGGCCATCCTCCACTGCACTCCCGGGCCACAGCAGAGAGCTGGCCTGGAAGAGGGGCAACCGGGACAGAATCCGGCGCCCCAACCGGGACTAGAACCCGGTGTGCCGGCGCCGCTAGGCGGAGGATTAGCCTAGTGAGCCGCGGCGCCGGCGAATTAACTGAAATTTTACCAATTTAGGTTGTAAAAGGTGCCACCCACATGGGAGATCTGGCGAGAATTCCAGGCTCCTGCTTCGGCTTGGCCTATCCCGTGGCTGTCGTGGCCATTTAGGGAGTAAACCAGCGGGTGGAAGATCTCTCTCTGTGTCTCTCCCTCTCTAACTCTGCCTTTCAAAGGCAGAGTGATGAGAGAAACAGGAAGAAAGGAAAAGAGACAGAGAGACAGAGAGAGAGACCTTCTATTTGTTGGTTTACCACACAAATGCCCACAATGGCCAGAGCTAGGCCAGGCCTGAATTCCATCTGGTTTCCCACACGGGTCATCACCTGCAGCCTCCCAGGATGCCCAGCATCAGGAAGCCCAGGAGAGCCTCAAACCCAAGCACTCTAATACAGGATGCAGGCGTCCCAAGCAGCTTCTTACCACTATGCCAAAACTTTTAAATTTTCTTCCTATTTAAGTCACAACAGATACTTTAATGCCTTTCTGAGTCTCAAGATTCAGCCTCCACACAAAGTTAATCTAATCTCTCTACCCTTCCACTTTGAAGTGCTTAACTTAAATCTCTGAACAATTTTTAAACGAGAAAGCTTCTAATTTACTTTGGTGGTTTTCTATCCCATCCCAATTTAAATTATCCCTTAAAATTTTCCAATTAATAAGTTTGCTAAGTCGTTCTCAAACAAGGCATGAAAGGCAATTAAAATCACAATCTACGGGGCTGGCGCTGTGGCATAGCGGGTAAAGCTGCTGCCTGCAGTGCTGGCATCTCATACGGGCGCTGGTTCGGGTCTCGGCTGCTTCACTTTTGATCCAGCTCTCTGCTATGGCCTGGGAAAGCAGTAGAAGATGGCCCTAGTTCTTGGGCCCCTGCACCCATGTTGGGAAGCCCAGAGGAAGCTCCTGGCTCTAGATCGGCGGAGCTCCTGCTGTTGGGGCCAATTAGAGATGGAAGACCTCTCTCTCTCTACCTCTCCTACTCTCTCTGTGTAACTCTTTCAAATAAATAAATAAATCTTTAAAAAAAAATCACAATCTACTTTACATGTATTCGTTTCTATTAAACAACTTCTCTAAAGAGACATTCTTTGCTCTTTTTTTTTTTTTTTTAAACAGGCAGAGTGGACAGTGAGAGAGAGACAGAGAGAAAGGTCTTCCTTTTGCCGTTGGTTCACCCTCCAATGGCCGCCGCGGCCGGCGCGCTGCGGCCGGCGCACCGCGCTGATCCGATGGCAGGAGCCAGGAGCCAGGAGCTTTTCCTGGTCTCCCATGGGGTGCAGGGCCCAAGCACCTGGGCCATCCTCCACTGCACTCCCTGGCCACAGCAGAGAGCTGGCCTGGAAGAGGGGCAACCGGGACTAGAACCCGGTGTGCCGGCGCCGCTAGGCGGAGGATTAGCCTAGTGAGCCGCGGCGCCGGCCCTATAGAGACATTCTTGAAAGAAATTCAGAGCACTGGAGAACTTTCAAACTAATGTAGTCAAATAAGATGTAAGTTGCCCATAGAGAGAAAAAAAAAATGTTGTCATAGTTATGGTCCACAGGACCTACATTAGCAAATTAATGATTGTTCTAATGCCTTGCTTTCCTACAATGGTCAACTGGATTTTTTCCCAAGTTATCACTCTCCTGTCATGGGACTTAAGTTAGATCCTATGTTTTCTACATTTGTATTTTGTCTAGCAGTGATCTAAATATACATACACCTTGCTCCCACTGATGCTGAGCTGGGCCACTGACTCGCTTTGACCAATGCAATTTTAGGAGACACAATTGTGGTTGGGTGGTTTGGCCTGTAACCCCTACACTTCCACCTCGCCCCATGAGAAAAACATGCCCAGGTGGTTGATAGTAGAAAAAAAGACAGACAGATCTGAACTCAATTTGCATTCTGGAACAAAGCCATCCCAAAGGCACAGCCATGGGTAAACAAACTGAGTGCTTGTCATTATAAACCCATAGAATTTTAAGAGTGTTTTTTATGAAGAAAAAATGGCTATTATACTTACTATACACTTATTATACTTTCAAGCTAATAAAATAGTAAAAATCCCCCAAACTTTTAAGTTGTAACTGGTAAAAACTATGCCCTAAAATCAGTGAAGGAGGGTTGGCATAGTGGTCGAGCAGGTTGAACCACCACTTACTGAGACGCCTGGCTGGGGTCCCAGCTCCTTGCTTAGCATCTAGCTTCCTGCTAATGCACATGGGAAGAAAACAGGTCATGGCCCAAGTACCTGAGTTTCTGCCACCCATGTGGGAGACCCAGATGTACTCTGTGGCTCCTGGCTTTAGATTAGCCCAGCCTGAGATACTATGGGCATTTGGAGAGTGAACCAGGAGATGGAAACTCGATCTTTCTGTTGCTCTGCCTTTCAATTTTTTTTATTATTCTGTTTATTTTTTGAAGATTTATTTATTTATTTAAAAGGCAGAGTTAAGAGAAAAGAAGAGACAGAGAAATCTTTCATCGCTAGTTTGCTCTCCAAAGGACTGCAATGGAAAGAACTGGGCCAAAGCCAGGAGCTTCTTCAATATCTCCCATGCGGGTGCAGAGGCCCAAGGATTTAGGCCATTTTCTGTTGCTTTCCCAGGCTATTAGCAGGAGCTGGATTGGAAGTGGAGGATCCAGGACACAAATCAGCTCCCATATGAGATGCTGGCATTGCAGGAGGCTGCTTAACCCACTATGCCACAATGCCAACCACTCAATATACTTCTCTCATCATATCAAACTCAAGCTGATTCATTTTGTAAAAGCAAATGTTTCTCATCACAAATTGGTCAACTTGAATAAGCAAGATGGATAACGCTGATCATTCAGTTTTAATGTTGGGGTAGAAGTTTGACACAGTGTGCGAGTAGCATCTTGGAAGGCCCAAATCCTGTTGAGTGTTTGGCTTATAGTCCCAGCTCCACTCTCCATTTCAGCTTCCCATTAATGCGCACCTTGTGAGGGAACAAGTAACTGCCCAAGTATTTGGGTCCCTGCCACCTACACATGAGACCCAAATTGAATTCCTGGCTTCTGGCTTTGCTTTGGCCCATCTGTGGCTATTACAGGCAACTAGGGAGTGAACCAGTGGATGGGTGATCTTTTTCTATCTTGGTCTCTTTGCCTTTCACATACATAATTCTTTTAAATTTTAAAATGTTGGGGCTGGTACTGTGGTGTAGTAGGTTAAACCTCCGCATGCAGCACCGGCATCCCATATGGGTACCAGTCTGAGTTCCAGCTGCTCTACTTCCGATGTATCTCCCTGCTAATAGCCTGGGAAAGCAGTGGAAGATGACCCACATGCTTACGCCCCAGTGCCCACGTGGGAGATCCAGAAGAAGCTCCTGCATCTTGGCTTCGGATGGGCCCAGCTGTGAGCCAGCAGCTGGAAGACCTCTCACTGTATCTTTCCCTCTCTATAACTCTGCCCATCAAATAAATAAATCTTTTGGGGAAAAAAAGTCACACATTTGCTGTAACTTTCTATTACCAGTCACCTAAGAACAAGTTGTACAAAAGGAGATCCAGAGCCTGTGCTACTGAATTCTTTCAAATACTTCGAGCCCTCACAATAATATATTTAAAATTTTGATTGTCACAATTATTCTGCTTCAGAAGAGCACTGGGGAATCTAATACCTAAAAATACAAGTACAAAGCATTGATTTAAGGCCACTGAAACTTCGGTTTATGCCAGAAATGAAAAAAAAAAAAAAAAAGATAAGGATTCATGACTAGAGGTGGCTTTAACATGGGACAATTCTCACACAGCAGCAAATTAATGAGGTCTGAAAAGAAGTGAATTTACTAATTCTTCCTTCCCAAAAAAGGAAGGACTTACCATGACTT